TTCTTTTATTTTTTTTTATTTTTTATTTTTTGGTGGAACCGGGGATTGAACTCAGACACTTGGGCTTGCCAGGCAAGCGCTTATTCTACTGAGCCATCTCCCCGGCCCCACATTTTGTTTCTTTTAAAATTAAATTAAATTAAATCTTGCTTATTTATTTATTTTTGAGTCAGGATCTCGTTCTGCAGTTCAGGCTGGCCTTGAACTCACTTTGTAGCCCACTCTGGTCTCAGATTCCCAAAAATTCTTCTGCCTCAGCCTTCTGAGTGGTGGGATTACATGCAGCTCTTGCTTACTTTTTAAAAATTAAATTTATTGGTACATTTTTTTTTTAAATTTTTATTTATTTGTGTGTGTGTGTGTGTGTGTGTGTGGCCAGCTCATCCCACCAGGGGGCGGGCTGGCTGGCATGTGGTGCTGGGGGATTGAACCATGGTCCCTGGGCTTCGCTAAGCTTGTTCTAAGTAGGTGCTTTAGACCACTGAGCCATCTCACCAGCCCCTATTGGTACATTTTTAGATACACATAATGATGGCATTCAACATAGAGATTTTGTACTTGTACATGGTATATTTTGATAATTCTTTCGTTTACCTCCCATCCTTTCAGCCCCTCTTCCCTTTCTTATATACAAAAGCTTTGTTTCCAGTTTTTTCCTACTATTCTCTTTTCCATTCCTTTCTTTCCCTTCCCCTCTGCCTAGTTATCATTCCTATTTGAACATTTTATTCCTATCTCATATAATATCTACTATACTTTTGGTCCTTATACAACATCATTTTCTCACATTAGAGAAACTAAGCTGTATTTGAACATGTGTGTCCACTTTATTTCACTTAAGAGTAAGGTCTCAAGATATATCCATTTACTTAGAAATGTCTCAAACTGACTTTCTTATCTTTAGAGTAGTAGTCCAGCCACATCTTGTTTATCCATTTATCAGTTGATGGACAATTGGGCTGTTTCCAGAAATTCAGCTATTACAAACTGTGCTGCTATAAATATGGGTATGTATATATTGCTGTGGTGTATGGTACTTTTAATTCTTCTGGGAAAATATCAAGAAGGAAAATAACTGGGATGAATGAAACCTCTAGGTTTTAGGTTTTTTTTTTTTTTTTTTTGTGGTACCGAGGATTGAACTCAGGACCTTGTGCTTGCCAGACAAACACTTATTCTACTGAGCTATCTTCCCGGCCCAGTTTTAGTTTTGGAAGAATCTCCACATTGATTTCCATACTTGCTATACCAGTCTTCACTCCAACCAGCAATGGAAAAGTGTTCCTTTTTTTCCACAGCCTCATCAGCATTTGTTACTGGTTGATTTATATATTTTTTTATTTTTTAGACAGGGTCTTGCTACATAGTATAGACTGACCTTGAACTCAGTCTGTAGCTTAGGCTGGGCTTGAATTTGTGGCAGCCCTCTTGCCTCAGACTTTGGAGTGCTAAGATTATAGGCCTACACCACCACACCTGCCTGGTTGATTTCTTGATAATAGCCAGTAGTGAGATGGAATCACAGGGTTGTTTTAATTTACATCTTTTGAATGACAAATGATGTTGAATATGTTGTTACGTATTTATTTGTATTTCTATTCCTTCATCTGAGAAGTGTATTCATTTTAAATACTCATAAGTATATTCATTTTAGATACTCATTTTTGGATTGAATGTGTACATTTAGGGTGGTTTATTTTTGGGTTTTTTTATATATATTCTAGATGTTATTCTTTTGTCTGAGGAATAGCTGGCAAAAAATATTTTCCGTGCTGTGGGTTATCTTTTCAGTCAGTTGCTGGTTTCTTGTGCTGTGGAAATACTTTATAAGATGAGTTCCTAGTTACTGATTCTTTGTGATTATTTCCAATGATAGAGGTTTTATTTATAAAGTCTTTGCCTACACCATTGTCTTCAAGAGTTCTACTTGTTCTCTCTTCCAGCAGATTTGGTTTTTCTGTTTTAATATTTAAAACTTTGAGCTTTGCTCTTTTTTTTTTTTGTACCAGGGATTGAACTCAGGACCTTGTGCTTGCAGCGTAGGTGCTTATGCTGCTAAGCTATCTCTCTGACCCTTTGATTCATTTTGAGTTTAGTGCATGGTGAGAGACATGGGTCTAGTTGTAGTTTTTGGCATGTGGAAATCCAGTTTTTCCAGCACCATTTATTAAAGAGGCTATCTTTCTTCCACTGAGGGTGTTTGGCCCCTTTTTCAAAGATAAGGTGGCTAACTGTGTTGAATTGTTTGTGCATTTCCTAATTTGTTCCACTGCCTCTGGTTCCTCGTGTAATCAAAACCAAAATCCATCAGAAAAGTGTATTTTCCAGGTGGCATAATTACAGATAATTGAGGAAGTAAAACAGTTGAAAGTATAAAGACATGTGGGTTTGATTTCCGGGTGAAAACAGAGGCTTTTTACAAAGCAGTGACTCTTACCAGGTTATATAAGCCTGGTATTATAAACACATTATCTCCATATCATTTGTCATGTGAGAATACTTCCCTTCTTCATAGTTTATTTTTCTTTGTAATACCTTTTGAACTTCAGAATCTTTTATATTTGGCTTTCCATAAACAGTCAGGATCTGTGAGATTCTTTGTTGTTAGAAACTATTCATATTTGTTATGGATGTTGACTCATTATCATGATATCTTTTCTCTGAATAGCATGTGATAATTTATAAATTATATAAATTTATAAAATATAAATTTTATATTATATGAAGCAGCAGAGGTGAGGTCCTTTCTAAAGACTTCCTTCAGAAATCTAGATATTTCTTGGAGCCCTTTCCAGTATTAGCACATATGCCATTCTTTAAATTGAAGACCAAACCAAATTATTGTGTTTGAATTTTGACAGTGTATTATTTCTTGAGGTAACATTTGGGTTTACACAACACTCATCCTTATTTAAAACTTCTATGTCTGAGATATCTTGAGCTTTTAGTAGTACATTGGCCAGCCTTTTGGCCTTTTTAGTTGGCATAGTCTAATATAGCTACATCTGGGATGTGTGGCCATGGAAAAACGTGTTTTTGTTATCTAGTGTTCTTGCTTTCTAGTAATTTTATTTTCTGCTTGAGGAATTTAGTATCTGTTCAGCTACTTTCTTTTTAGAGGCAACATAAGTAATGGCTTGACCTTTCATTTTAGCTTTGAAATTTGCCTATACGTGAATGTTCATGTCTAACAGCTATTATTTGAGACTAGTATTAATAGACTGCAATCAATGTTATTTTAAAATGTATATTTTACTTTGATAATTATTTCCATGACTGAGTTTAAAATTGTGCATGTGATGACATATTTGATGACTTTTAGACCTTGTTTTATAATGCTTTTTGCATTGTGTCACTGAGATAGTGCGTTTCCAAACAACTCTTCTCAAATGTTAGCATGACTTAATTCAGAGAAAAGTGTTTTGTGCACTATAATCATACCTGAAATAGTACCTGTCTCTTGAATCTAGTAAATAAGAGTTCTTTAGGTATAAAGGATTCTTTTCCCTATAGGAAAAGAACCAGTATTTATGATTGTTTCTTATGAACGTGGGGCAGTCTTTCTAGTATATACATGAATAAACTTTTTGCAGAGGATCAAGCTACTGAAGACTGAGACTGCAGGCTGTGGTGCATGTATCTGTAATATCAGCATTCAGGAAGCTGAGGCAGGAGGATTGCTGTGTGTTCAAGGCCAACCTGGGCTACAAAGTGAATTCAAGGCCATCTTGAACTGTATAGTAAGACCCCTGTCTAAAAATAGAAAGACTAAGATCATCAGTGAAATCAGACTTATCAAATTAGGAGTGTGGTTTAATAATCAATGGAGTGGAAAAAATTCATGAGTTTGTGTTAATATGTGGCAAGCTGTATTCATGAAGATAAAAGGAAGTTTCCTCTCAGCAGTTAGTTGTACTTGTTATCCTTTTTAGGGGTCTCATATCTGAGAGCCCACCTAGTATTGTTTTGGTGGGATCAGCCAAAGAAATTGTGTATTGCTACTTTTATGTGTTTTCTTGGTTTGGCTTGTTTTGTGTAGAAGTGATATTCTTATTGCTGAATTCTAAGTACAAAGAGAATAAATAGTCTGCTTAATTTATTGTAATCTTTAATTGAAACCTGTTTAGTTTAGATGATCTTGAAGGAGGCTTGCATAATTGGGGTTTTTCTTTCATTTCAGTGGAAGGGAAATACTTTAGTTCACTTACTAGAGGGAGTAAAATAGTTTGTTCTTCCTTTCCCTGCAGCGAGAATTATGAACATAAAACCATAAAGCAGATTCAGTGTTAATTTTTAACTTCCCCATATTTCCACCCTCATCCATAGTAAATAATGTGCCTGACTGTAAAATGGAAAAAGTTGAAATTTTCCACTTGTGCATTTTGAGCTTTTCAGATGTATTATACACTCTGGAAATAAAAATAAAAGATACTAGGGCTTATACAGTGCTTTTTGTGTGAGAAGCTCATGTAAACACTAATGCATTGATCCTAACACAGTACTTGATTGTGACTTTAAAAGGTCATGAGTTACTGCTTTTACAAAAAAAAAAAAAAAAAAAAACAAAAAAACGGGGAGATGCTCTAATTTACAAATATTTTATAAAAAATCTGGATAAAAATTATATAACTAAAAAAAGTTATAGGAGGCTTTATGTCTTAGTCTGTGATATTTATCCCATATATATGTGTGTGTGTGTGTGTATATATATATATATATATATATATATATATATATATTTTATCTATATGAATCTACCTGAAGCCGGATTCCCTTCTTTAAATAAAAAGTAGAATATGCTTTTCAGCCTTTATTCCTTCTCAGTCACCAAGACTTAAAACATGTGGTTTCCTCAGTTTATTACATGAACATGACAGCCTTACTTGTTCTGAATATTGTTGGTTTTTTTTTTTTTTAGTTTAACATTTGTAGGCTGTAGCTATTGGTTTTGATGAATGTAGTGTCATATGGCTTAGTTTTCAATATTTTTTATTTTGTAGGTTTATTCTTCAATCCAAGGAGGTAATTCATAATCAGCTGTTGGAGAAACAGAAAATAGCAGAAGAAAAAATTAAAGAACTAGAGGTAAGTTTTTAGTGACTATTGATAATAGCAGTCAATTTTTAGGAAAAAGTAAATCTCAAGTCATTGAAGTGTGTTATTGCCATGGTTCATGTTTTTAAAAAAATAATTGTATCAGAGCTATGAAGCAGTGATATTTGTGGCAATGTGTAAGACAAAACAAACAACAGTCTCTGTAATGGTGGGCCATTTTAAACATATGATGGCAGTAATTGGAATATATTTTTTTCTTTGCCTTTGAATGGACAAATATGTTTCTAAAAACCATGAACAAAAGACCAGTACTGGAATATGGTGAATGGGCAGGAGACTGGGTAGTTGTTAGAGGATTTTGGTGTCTCTTTTACATGTTGCAAATCATTTATTGTAGATTAGGTTCTAAACAAGGATTTTTTTTTTCCAGTTTGGTAAACATCGTCTGACACAAAATAATGTTTTCAGAGTGATTGGTATCCCTACTCAAGCTACATTTCCTGGGGCTTTTGTTTCAGTTTCTGATTAATTTGTACCTGAGTACCTGCAGGCAGCCTTGCATAGCCTAGAGGTTACAAGAAGTTAAAGCCCATTTAATTTCCTTTTGAAGTCATCTTTGTAAGCTAACTTTGTTAACAAGAATTGGTGAAGGTTACAGGAATTTTATCTTAGCAAAGAGCAAGAAACACCCACTAGTTACTAAACAACTTAGAACAGTAGTGAGTATACGTTTACAACAGAAAGCACAAGATTTACATTTATAATCTAAAACGTGAGTTGGCCCATTACGTTACCCACTGGTTTTATCTAGGAATCAAATCGTTGATTGAGCTAAAACCCCCAAATTGTTATAACTGTCCTGGGAGCATGAGGGGTTTGTAGTTAGATCTCAACAACATTAACTTGATGGTCTGGATTTTTTGAACATACTTAGTTAAACAGTTTATAAAACAGGGCCCAATAGAGCCAAGAGAAACAGGCGAACAGGTACAATTGAGGCAGGTATAAGGAAGCATCGAGAATAGTCTCTAATTTTTTCTTTTGACAAATCTCTAGATCCAATTTTTTCCTTTGGCTACATTATACCCCACTTGTTTTACATGTTATTCTGCTGTTTTGCCAAAGAAGAGATTTTTTTTTTTTTGCGGAACTGGGGATTGAACTCAGGTCCTTGCGTTTGCCAGGGAAGCGCTTATTCCACTGAGTCATCTCCCCAGCCCCAAAGAAGAGATTTTTAACAACACTAAATATCACATATGTTTAAATCTCTCAAGTTTTATGCACTCATGACCCTTTGTGGTGATATTGTATCAAATTATTTTGACATGGGGTCACCACACTTAATCTACTCAAACAACAAGGAACATTAGTTAACAACAGAGTCTGAGTAGGTGGGTTTTTTTAGAACTCTAGACCAGTCAATATCTCCCATGTCCCCACTGGTTTTTGTGTCACCTCTTGAGCTGTAACATCAGCCAGGAAGTTTTCTCTTTTTGTCTTAAGGTCTGGCCCACAGTGGGCAGTATCTGTCTCTCGCAAGCTGTACAGTTACCTTGTCTTTAATTCTGTCTCCTTGAGGGCCTAGCCCTGTCTGACTGCCTATAATATTTTTA